GAAAGATAATCTTAAATAGGGTATAAATACTATCTATAAGGCTAATTTATACTAATTTATATAATTATCTCTAGATAAATTACCTATCTAGTAAAAAAGGCTTTTTAGTAAATATTTAGATAGATAGGTTAACTACTTTTATTATTACTATATATCTACTATTTTAGTTTATTAAGTATCCTAAATTTTATATTTTTATTGAGATAGCTTCTTTTACTCTATCTATCCCTAAAATACTAAATACTAGGACTATCTATTAGTATTTTTAGAAAATAGTTATAGAATATTAAGAGTCTTTATTTTAAATACTCCTAGAGGGTAGTAAGTTTTCTATTATATTAGATTACTAGATCTCTCTATTTTACTAAGTATTTATAGTAATTACTAACTATTTTATTAATCTTAAATAGAACTATTATAAAATTCTACTTAGTTTTAAATCTCTCTATAGTTTTTATATAAGTATCTATCTAAATAGTATTCTATTTAGACTACTTAAGAAATATTAAATTACTAATTATATACTTATAGTTATAACTAATAATATATCGAATAATAGTATATTACTAACTATTTTTAAAAAGACTATTTTATCTCTTAAGCTTCCTAGTTATATACTAATTATTTATATACTATATATTATATATATTATATAACTTAGTCTTAAAGAGCTTCTTAGCTAGATAGATATAAACTTATAAAATAATAGGGAAGAGATAGAATAGACTAATTAGGAAGATAGTACCTAGTAAAAGAATTAGAAGATTATATAAACCCTAAATAAAGTATACTATACCTCTTTTCTACTATTATTTCTCTATTTAATACTAACTATATAATATCTTCTAGGTTCGAAAGATTACTATCTATATTAATAAAAATCCTTAGTATTATAAAAGCTTTAGTATATTTTAGACTAAAGAACTAAAGCTTATACTAATATAAGATATCTAAATATACTAGAATTCTACCTTTCTAATATTTTAGTATATATATTAGCTATAGACTATATTTAATAGATTTTATAATTAGTTTAATCTAACTAATATAAAACTAGATAAAAATAAATAGTAATAGATTAACTATCTACTATTAATTACCTATCTTTTCTTTAACTTTACTTTATCTCTATTAGTAATAACTAATATAACTATCTATAATATATTTAGGATCTATAATACCTTATTTACTTATATTAATAAGATAAAGATATAACTAATATAAAAGAGAGTTAGGTAGAAGAAGGTAATAAAGCTAGTACTAGAGTATAGGTATAAAAAACTTATAGAGTATTATAGCTAGACTAATAATATTCTAAATAATCTCTATATAATTAGGACTATCTTAGGCCTATAAAATAAGCTTAAGTTCTTTAAGATATTAGAATAGGAGAAATACTAGGTACTATAGTATTAAGAGTCTTTTAAGACTTATATCGAGCCTTACTAATAGCGCTATATAAAGATATAGTTAATATTAACTATCTAGTTATTAAATAATAATATCTAATATCTCTAATATTAATATACTTCTAAGATTTACTATCTCTCTTTAGTTAATACTAACTACTTTAGATAAAATTATAAGATATCTTAGAAGTAGTAAGTCTAATAATATATTTTTATACTAATATATCTTAGTTTTTATTAATATTATATCTCTCTAAGTACTATTTAATTAATATCTTTAGTCTTCTAGAAGGCTTATAAAATAGAATATCCTATCCTAGTAAGTCTTACTTAAGATATCTTTATAACTCTAGCTAGTAGCTCTAGGGTAAAAAGGCTTTTTAATTCTACTTATAATATATACTACTATTACTATAGTTTATTAAAACTATAGACTATTTAGGATCTAATAATATTTATATATATAATAAGATTTAATATATAGTTAGAGTAATTTATACTAATAGATAAATTTCTCTTTATCTAAGAGAAGTATATAAAAAAAAAGTAACATAATACTAAGTAAGATAATAAAGAATTTAATCCTATTAGTAATAATAAAGAAAATAGGATAATAGATACAGCTTAGTTAATAAGTACTAAAAAAAAAGGGCTATTAATAGTTAGCTTACTAAGCTAGAAGATAATAAGAACCCTTTATCTAATTTTAATATCTAGAGATATTTATTAGGATATATCCTAAAAAGATTAAGATATAATATAGATTTTATATATAATTAGTAGAGATAAAGAATTAGGTTTTTTTAGCCGAAATTATTATTATTAGTTTTTTCTATAGAAATCCTCTTTAAGCTAAAATTAGCCTATATAAATAAAGAATAAAAATAGAATACTAAAAAATACTAACTAATTCTATATAAAATATATATATTACGGGTTTTCCTATATTTATCTTATTTATAGGACTATATAGGGGACTAGGACCGTAGTAGTACGGTCCTAAAAAAGTTAGGACCGCCTAGCGGTCCTAAAAGTAAGGACTAAGCCCTATATAGTACAGTCTGGTCCCGGTCCTAGTCCGGTCCTAGGCGGTCCTTGCCGAGGTCTATATAGGATAGGGATCTAATTTCTTATAAGACCCTCTATCTCTACTTTCCTACTATTTAGTCCTAGGGGGAGGATACTTATTTAAAGATAAATTCCCCTTAAGATAGTAGGGTATTAATATAGTATATAGAGGAAAGGGGGCAGGGGATTAGCATAGGGCTTAGGGGGGATCAAGTGCGATAGAGTAGAGATATATATCTCTACCAATATAGTCCATATATAACGGTCAAATACGATCCTCCGGCGGGGACTAAATCACCTAAGGTGGATTGTTTACGGATTACGCTCGGAGGATATAGGGACCTAGTTCACCGCCATTTCGTCCTCTAGAAATACCAACATAAAAACCATGTAAAATATAAATCCCGTTTTCAATAGTGTAACTCTATTCTCCGCACGGACTCGGAAGATCTGTCTCCTTATCTCGTCCTGCTGACGGGCTCCCTTTCCATCAGCCATAAACTCGAGAGGGCAAGGAGTCGGATGGTAGCACCACGTGGCAATCCCTCTGGTCCGCAGTTCGAGCGGCGCAAGCTGGTAAATCAATAAGCCCACCAAGAAGATTTCTCTGGCACCACGACCCGATTTTGTCTATCAGCCCCCTGTGCAGACCAAATGGCGCTATAAACCAGAAGAAGACAAAGCTGTTGTTGTGGGTCCAGACGGAGAGCGCACCAGCACCAGTCGAGCGGCCCAAGTAGCTACAACAATCGGATCAGCCTTGATCCCCTATAGCCAGAGATGCAGGGGGGCGAAACTGACTCATAGCCAGTGTTCTTGATCACGAAGCGGATGTTCTTGGCCTAGGCCGAGGGGGCCGGCCAGCAGGCATCCCCAGGCAAGGGCCACAACGGTTGCCGATCAGACCTTCATGGTGGAGTGAGGTTGAAGAAGACTAGAGATAGCTACAGAGTTTGCCGATCGCGAGTTTAAATTCTCCCCGGGTGCCTCGACTTATGCATTGTCTGCTGGCAACACCACCTCGGCCTGGACGCAACAGGATTTCACAGCGACTCCCAGATGTTCCCCAGAGCGTCTAGCTTAGACGATAGTTCAGAAGAACGCGGTCGGTCTGATTGTGGCTGGCACCGGGTGGGTTGTGGCATTCGAGGGATCCCAGTTCATAGGCTTCCACCGTACGCGCGCAAAGGTTTTGCCGGGGACCCGAGTGACCAACGCTGGGTCTTGCGGGACGCGCTCGTACAAAAAAGGATTGCGTTGCAGGTTATGCAACTACCAGGGGAATGGAGGGATATGCGTAGGTCGACATGCAGACGCAGCCGAGTGACAGGGTATCCGTATCTTTCGCCACAACAGAAAGCTTGATGTCCACCATGGGCAGGTCCGTGCAACCTCGGGATCCGGAGAATAGCGGAATTCTGCAAAAAGATGCAATCAAACCGAAGCCGATATCGGATCGTATATCTCAGGGGGAGCTCAGGGCCAATGAATGAATGGGGAGGGAAAATGGAGTGTCATCTACGGCGGCCGATAGCGGTCACTGGGAAAATGCGCTAAGTATGCATATTCTAAGATTGGCAGAAAGTTTAGATACCTGAATTACTTATACTAGATAACGTGGTTCCCGCTTACTGTACGTCGCTCACCCCAAAACACATAGTAAATGCCGAAAATTACAATTCTATATCTCAACAACTAGGCTATATATCAATTTGAATCTTGGTTTATATGCTATTACAAGTATTAAAAATAACATCTTTAACTCTAGGACTATTTAGAAAAAGATTTTGCTATATTACTATAAAATACAACGTAATTTAGACATTCGAGCCTTAGATATATATTTCTCTATTATTACTTACATGAATATCCTTAGAATCTATCTACACACTAGAAGCCCGACTTTGAATATTATGTCTAAGTATTTTCTCTATAGGAGATGTGGTTGGTGAGATATAGAATTGTAATTTTCCATATTTACTATGTGTTTTGGGGTTTGCGGCGTAAGCGGCTGAGCGACGTAAGCGGGAACTACGTTAAATTACGCCTAAAATTAAGATAGAGATAGGGGAGTACCTTGGTTAGAATTTCCTAAAGTTTAAAAGGAATACGACCATTACCTGTGTTATTTATATCCACCCACAACGCGGAAGCGTTGTGGGTGGGTGTATAACACTGGTAGAAAGGTAGTAGTAACGAGAAAGAGTAAGAGTGTAGAGGGAATTCTAATTTTTGATAGGGGGCGGTAGAAAGTGCAGAAACCTAAGAACTTAGGTAGGGGCCGGATTATCAATTCCCCATTTTATATAGGAAAGATAGTGTAAAAAACGATTCCTACGTTACAGGGCCGTTAGGGCGGTCTATAATACAGTATGCATACTTGGCGCATTTTCCCGGTGATCGCTATCGTCCCGTGTAGTCGTCCATGGTTTGGAACCGTCATGCCCAAAGAGGAAAGTCCTCGTGAGTGTTGGTGGTGGCCATCCACTCGACCAGAGTTTGGCTGGCCAACGCCATCCTCATATGCCCACGCAAGCAAAGCGACGGGGCATGGCTTCTCGTTATGGCTTCACAGCACGCAGCGCTGCTAATTGGATGCTCATCATGGGCCATAAGCAATTTATGACCATGGCCGTACCGTGGAAGTCGCGTAAGACCCTCACCCGGGCCCACGTGGCGCAGCTCCGGGACAACGTTCAACTATATGCTGGTAGCTGGAAAGTATAATCCGCAATTTCCACCACCGGGCTCTTGAGGCACCTCTGCTGCAACCGATCTATTAAGGAAAGCTTATCTGCTGCACCGGATTTATTGAGGAATACTTCTCTGCGGCGCGGTTCCAACGGCCATGCGGTAGTTCTAGAGATTCTTGTCATCTCCCGGTTCTCTCCCGCGGCTATCACGATGACGACTGCTAAGGGCGCAGACCTAGAAAGGGGCATCTGGGCCGGGATAATCGTCGCCGCGGTGATCCTTATCTTGAGGGTCTTTGCGAAGATCAAGATCAAACGGTTCTACGTCGACGATGTCTTGATGATCATTGCAGAGGTACGAGCCCGGAACTACTCCGTAGTTCATTTGCTGTGTTCTTGATGCGCAGTGCACTAACCCTGTCTAGATTGTTCTTATTGTGTCAACGGTATACCTAACCCAGAGCATAAAGCATGGGTTTGGTACCGATCTGCTCAAGCTGAAAATTCGGGACCAACAGCTAGTCTTGAAGTATATCGCCTTTCAAACGTCCCTCGTGACATTTAGCGCCGCCTTTGCCCGCTCGTCCTTTATCATATACCTCCTCGGCGTCCTTAGTACCAACAAGACATACATAATTATATTATGGATTCTTCTGTTTATTCAGGCTGCGGGGAATATTGCTGCTGCGGTGCTACCGCTAACTATCTGTCGCGATGTCCGCGCACTATGGAATGTCGAGGTAGCTCTCTATACCACCTGTGGTAACATCGGGGACGTCATCAGATACGCCTATTATTCTAACTGTATATTGTTTGATCTCGTCTCGTTAAGTATAGGCTAACTTATCTATAGCATTTAACTCCTTCACCGACCTATTCCTAGCTATCTTCCCGACTGTGGTGTTCTGGAACCTCCAGCTCAAGCTGGGCATCAAGATCAGTTTAATTGGTCTATTAAGTTTGGGAATCATGTTCGTCTCAAATTACCACCTGTTCTTAGACCAAAGCTAACAATTCCTATAGCGCAATGGTCGCCTCTATCATCAAGACAACAAAACTCGACCAGGTGCCCGCCCTCACCAATATGCGTGCCGCTCAAGGCCTTGAGCTGATGCGTTGGGCTTACCTTGAGAATGTGATCATTATCATCACGTCTTCCATCCCCTGCATCCGCCCCCTGATCATCTCCTCGGTGCGCAAGATCTCGAGTGTCGCCCGCTCCTACGAACTCAGCGGACCCTCCAGCGGACCCTCCAGCGGCCGCCGAAGTGCAGGCAATGACACAAGCCAGTCACGGCTGGGGCGGTTGCGGCGTCTCACCAAGTCTCACAACGCGGAGAATGGCAGCGTGGACTACATCCTCGAAGACAGCACGCATACAAGCACCACAATTGGAGGGCGCCCCGATTCGCTTGAGCGAGAGCATGCAGGCATCACCAAGCAGGTCGAGATTTCGGTGATGGGTGACGACCCAGCGCGGTGGGTTTGATATCTATATAATCATTGTCTTTACGTGGTGATGTGTTAGAACATGAAGGGATGACTTACCGCTAGCAGCTAATTGGTTGCTAATTAAGACCTATATTCGTTTAGTATTTATATGTAAGGAGGGAGCTTAGCAGTAATATAGGGTTTATAATAGCCGAGTATCGGAGCGTCTAATACAGTGTTTTTAATAGCGCTATCCCCCGTCGTTTTTTTATCGATTAATCAATTTTATTTATCTGAATTGGTTCCGCTTGATCTTATTGGTTCTCTTCGTATACTAGGCTATATAGTATTCGCTTACGCTATTATGATGTTTGTAGTTAACTAACTAGATACTTGGTGTTATATAAGCGTCTAGACCAGTATAGGCTATGATAATGAGTAAGATTCAATCCTTATTACTCCAGCCTTAAGCTTAACGGCCCTATTTTCTATTTATGTCACGATGTCTTGACTGATTTGTTTCTGAGTGTGGTTCAAACCTGTATCAGCCGAGCGCGCTTTTGTGCAACACGACGTTAATAGGCGTGACAAGTCTATTGCCACATCTGTTTTGCGACCGCAATGCACGTTGAAGGAGAAAAGTCATTTTAAATTTGATTCCAGAAGGTGATCTGCCGCCCTCATCCCGGAATTGCAACGTAAATCGTACGTGCCGCGAAAAAAGATGCTTGTTGAAAAGTCCAATATTGAAATTAAAATAGTTGGATACCAATTTACGTTTTTCTTTTGCCTTAACCAAAGGAAAGTGGTCGCTCCGTTTAGATACCTTCAACTGGCGGTGGAAATAAACTGGCGCACCCATTTAGTGACCGTTGATCACCCCCACAGTCTTTGCTGGGCAATTTTAGCTACGCGCCATTTTGGTGACCACCCATAAACTCAACACGCGAAAGACCACCTTTTCTCTCAAAGAATTGTGGTGGTTCTTTCGCGTGTGCAATGATCGAAATTCCCCTTTGCACAATTGGAGCATTTGCATCTATTTGATTCTTTCCTGTTAACGGACCTATCGCTTAAAAGAGCGCCCGTCTCCTATGCGTTTCCCCCTATAGATGTAGTTACGTTTATAGTACCTCCATAAGTAGACCAAGACAACTACTCGCAAATGGCTGCTATAAATTCCACCCGAAGGGCGCCTCCTCGAAAGAAAATTGATGCGCCAAAAACAATGCCGCCGCAAAACCTGATGAAAAAGGCAAGCGAATGCAGCAATGTTCGAAATCAGTTTTACCTCTAATCTCTCACTCTGTGTTTCCCGAGACTCCACCTAGAGCGCACTAGTCCAAATTGGCTTCCGCCCACCTTTGCATCTGTTGATGTGCCTGCGATGCGCTGGCGTAAATTACAGTAAAGAGATCTCATCTCTTGGCAATTCCTTGTCTCTTTCCACAGACGAATGTCATTTGCCGAGTGAAATATGCCATGTTCCAAGACTTAAGTGTTAATTACTGTATCTACCACTGATACATTTCCATGGATTTGAGCGCTACAAAAGCCGAGAGGATTGTGGATAAGAACTTTTTTCAACTAAGGAGCGTCCGTGTCTTCAGTTGATGAAACACTAAAAGTTGAAACCAGAAAATTGCCATTACAGTAGTGAAACAGGATGTGGCCGCCATCTGCTTGCATGTTTTTGTGCAATCGACGGAGAGTGACTGCATATGGATGGCTTAACTTACCACAAAGGTTGCGGAGGTATCCAAGGGGTTTAGTTACACAGTGAATCTTGTTCCTATATATCTAACCTTGACGCTGAAATGCTAATATGATACGGGCTGTCGCTCAGGTCTGCATCGGCAGGGGCAGGAACCATTCGAAATTACAAATAAGAACCATATTAGCCTACAGTACCACGGTTAGTTGAGCTTTTCGAGACTTAAAGAATCGGCTAGCCTTTAGAAAGTACCGTAGTTAGTGACAGCCGAAAAGTATGTTCTCTAATAAACGTCATACTAAACGGTATTACGTCATGACTTTCGCTAAGTATAGTAACTAACCCTAAAAACCTTTTAACTTAAAAAGTTTAAGGTCGAAGAATACTTATGTACGCTATCCCTGATTAATTTTTTTTATTTTCGCTTACTCATTAATAATACACAACAATGTCGAAGAATTCATCCACATAGATATAGTTCATCATTAACAAGATTTCAGAGTAAGCTATTCGTTAAGGGTCTCAGGGGCCTTACTAACAACTGAAAGATATCGTGAAAGAGGCGATTTTACCGATCTAAAGATAGTTTACGATAGAGTCGAATTCAACGTCTATAAGATTATACTATGCTCACAATCTCCTATCTTTCAATCTGCATATACCAGAAATTTCAAGGTAAGTCATATCTCACATCAGGCTTTCTCTTTGTTTATTAATAGCTAAAGCTAAATATTAGGAAGTAGTAGAATCCACGTACCAAATAATAGATAAATCGGTTTCTATTATTAAAAAAATGCTAGATTACCTATATACGGGTAAATACTCGGAGACTTTCGATAAAAAGGAGGCGGACGACTTACCTAAGATACCGCCATTATCATTATCAGCTCTTCAATTATATACACAAATATTCTCTTTAGGGGATAAATATATTATCCCGGAGCTCTATTATACGGCTATAGTAAAATACTCGAAAAAGGCTTTGAATCGATTTAACCCCGTAGAATATCTTAAGGATGTTTTCTTCTTACTATTGAGTAGTAACAGGGAACTTAAAGAACTCGCTATCCGCTTCTCGAGAGATAATCTCGTGTCCTATTTAGACAACAAATCTGTACGTTCTAAATACAATTTAATTATAATATAGGTACTAGACTTTATAAAAGAACTTCTCGATATATATTTCGAGACTCCTCTGCTAGGGGACTATAAGAATTATAGCCGCTGTAGACCAATATTACTATTATAAGTAAGGTATAGAAACTATGGCCGAGGAAAAGGAATAAGTAAATATCGTTATAGGTTTAGAGATTAGGAATGTCCTTTACTTAAGGATAAGACTGTTACTTCGGTATTTACCCTTAATATACGGTCGTATAAATAGTATAGTTAATACATTTTATTACTTATACCCGACTAACTAAAATTAGAAGAAATTCTGGTAGTAATGGTGGTTAGACTGCGCCAAAACCCGCGAATAGGTTCTGATATCAAAACCCAACCTAACCCAACGTAGGTTTTAGGTTTTGTACCTAGAACCCAAACCAACCTAATAGGTTTCGAAATTAAAAATAAAAACCCGCAAATAACCCATTTTGACCCATTTTTACATAAAAATCTAGCATAAAATACTTAGTAATTATATACTAGTAATCTTAATACACTCTATATTACCTTTCTAAGGATTATATATTACTTTTTACTAGTAAATAATAGTATAATAGCTTATATATAGGCTATTATAGGCTATATATAGCTCTATAGTTAGTATATTTACTAAATTAGGTAAGTAGTATAGATTATTATAGATATATATATTTCCTAGAAGGTAAGTATATCACTTTTTCTAAGAGCGATATATTTTATTTAATATATTAAAACTAGCTTTTATATATATATTAATCTATATATAGATATCTAGTCCTATTATATATATAATAATTATTATATATACTAATATTACCAAGGATAATATAGTTATTATAACCCTAAAACAGTATGTCTTTTTACATAATTTATATTTATCTTGTTTATAAGCTTTTTGGGTTAGGTTAGGTTATCTACCTCGACCCAAAACCTGTACGCAGGTTAAAGGATTAGACCTAAAACCTAACCCATCGGCGGGTTGGGTCGGGTTGGGTTTTGGGTTATGCGGGTTTTGGCACACTCTAATGGTGGTACTGGCGGACGGTTAAAGGTGAAGGAAACTTTACTAGAGAAAGTTCTTCGACAGAAGACTACCCGTCACTATTATATAAGAGCTAAATACTGTTATTACTATATTAATAAGGGATCGTACTAAACGTAAACTAACGAAATGATTTGACGGTACCGATATTATTTCTACCGCTATCGATAGATATTTTATTTTAGGGTAAGGAGCTTACGCTAAAGATTAGTTTTACTATATAGACGATCGCCACTCTTCTCTAACCGCTAGTCGGAAAGGAGAGAAAAGAGGAAAGTTATCTACTATAAAAGGATACTCAGCGAACGTTTTTCTCTTTCAACTCTTATCACACTTAACCATATTTTATTCTACTTCTCTTGGAGATAGAAAGATCATGAACGCCGAGGATATCATCTCGTATCGATTTACCGACCGGCTTCCACTTCGATAAGCATTATAGCTAGCAGATAGTATTCTTTAGAATAGGAACAAGGATCTCGCTCTACTTGGTGATACTCTCATCAAGTTGATTCTTGTCAAGGAGGGCCTTCGTCGACATGCGACCCGTGGTAAGTGATGACATCTCACCAGCCAGGGTGACATGAGACTGATCAATTTTATGTCTCTGTTTTAGGCCATATAAACAACGTTATATCAGAGAAATCTCCGAACGCCTACCTTGCGCAGCGAGGCTTTTCCACAGGCCTAGCAGAATGTGTCTATGGCAATCGATCCCAAGGAAACATAATCTACCCGGGCCCTATAGCCTCTACTATGGAGGCTACCGTTAGAGCTGTCTTTAATGATAACGGAGAGAAGATAACCCCTGTCAAAAGTGTTATAGAGGCTATGGGCGTTTCTTAGCCGGAGTGACTTCTCCATCACAGGTAACGTTTCTTTTGCCCCTCTTTGAAAAAGTTAAGTTCGGAGCGACTGCTCGTGTTAATGGGACTCTAGTTACTCTCCGTAGGGGCCTACGGATGCTTCCCTGCTGGGGCTGGTCGATGGGACTACAAAGACGCGAGAGTCGCATTTTGGAGCATAGTGATGTGTCATTTACCTGCTTCAAAATGGACTTCTGTGCTTTGTAGTGCTGTCCATTTGCCCTAGCAGAGCAGCTTCCATAGGCCCGTACGAGGATGAAGTGGGCTTCTTCAAGCTACGACACTGTTTCTGATTATATTTGATTTGGAATAGACCGACAAGAATGATCAGATCGAAGCGATAGTTGTTGGTTTCTTCGGGCAGTCGCGTGAGGTGTGTCCTTGCTCGTGGCATCTGAAGCATCGACCCTCTTTCAGATGAGTGGCTCGTTCCTCCGCTATTATTAGCTTGTAAGCCAAAGCAACACTCTCTCACTTGATGAAAGGGGATAATGTAGGACGTCTACGCAGGGCGGCAGTCGTAGCTAAGCCTAAGGCCGATCCAGAGCTAGTGCTAGCTATCGCGGCTTAGGCACGGCGAGATTCTTTCTGCTTATAGAATAGGCTTAGGTTCAGGGCTATACGCTAGTAGGTAGTAATAAATTGCTTAAAGCTAATATCCGGGTTATTAAGTAGATATATTATCTAGGTCTAGAGTATCGGTACTAGTTTACTATAAAGATCTCGGAGTCGGTTTTACTTAGGCTACTAAGCTTCTTTAGCTAGGCGAGAGAAATTGGCGAGGAAGTCGCTAAAGTTATCCTTAGGCTTTATAGTTAGGTAGGTATATTTATAGAGTACCTTAGCGGCTTAGTTTAGGTTCGAGAATATACTCTTAAGGTACTTAATTATATCCTCTACGTCGCTATATAGGTTAGACGCCTTAGCTCTTATTTAGGGACCGATATAGAGTAAGGCCTTACTTTTAGTACGGCTCGAAATATAGTAGATTCGGTCGGATAGAGTTAGGTAGTAATTAGCGTTACTACATAACTTATATCGAATTAGATTAGCCTACTAGTCAAAGCGTATAGTCTTACTATCGCTAAAGAGAGAGGGTTCGGGGAGTTTCGTAGTATAATAAGATCTAGCCATCGGGGATTCGTAGATCGACTAGCGGTCTTACCTACGCTCCTATAGATCGATAATCTTTATAGTAAGCTAACTAGCCTTTAGGGTAGTAGTCTCGAGATCCCTTTATACCTCCCTATACTTAGTGTTTATAGTATCCCGCTAGGTAGTAAGAGTTCGAATTTCGCGGCGCTCTCGACGGAGGAGGTCAAAGAGTTATTTAGGCGTATAGTTCTTGATAAAATTAAGATCAAGGTCTCCCTCGGAGGGGAAAGAGATTGGTTCATCTAGCCTATACCGTTCAGCGGGCTCTATATTAGCGATTACTTCTTTATCATTATTCGATTCATGTTCTTCTGCTAGGTTCTCTAGATTCTGGTCTTCTGGTTCGTCAGATACAGTACTCTGTCAGTGTCTAGTTCGGGGTGCTATAGCGTCGGTTTGTCTTGGTAGGGGTTCGGTAAGGTTTCGGGTCGGTCGGGATCCCTCAGGGTTCGTCAGTTTCGGTTTAGGGTGGGGTGTCACTACGAGTGATACGATGGCAGCGTGCTGCTGGTGTCTGTACAGCTCGAGAGCGACAGGAAGGGTGAAAAAATGCTTCTGTTCTATATTACGATGAAGAAAATAGCCTTCTGGAAGATCAACCAGGTGCATTCAACAAAAGAACAGAAATAAAGAAGGAAGAAACTATGGGGACAGAGATGGCTGTTGTGTAGTGCGCTGCCATACAAACAGGCCCAATCAGGTTAGTCTAGTCAGCTGCTCCCATCATTCACTCCTCTGTCAGGTGACCCAGTGTCCATTATCGTTATTGATGTCATGCGTCACAACTAGGAGGTTAAATAGACCTATAAGTATTTATAATCTATATATAGGATAATTAGACCTAATTACTCCTAGTTATAGCTAGAGTTATTAATAATTAGGATACTATATCTACTAGATTATTACCTTTCTTCTTTATCTATAGCTACTATATCGATCTAATTATATTAGATAAGAGTATAAGCGAGGAAATACTGATACTACTAGAAGCTACTAGCTAGGCTTTTATAGAATACCTCTATAAAACTATAGATTAGGCGTAATCTACGATAGCTATAGCTTAGGAGTACTAATAGGAGTATTAGATGACACTAGACTTCCGCAGAACCTAACTCAACCTAGACCTAGACTGCGCTAAAAACCGTAATTAGGGGTAAACCTTGCCCCTAAAAACTAAACTATAATAGTTACGGTTTTTAAAACTAAAAACCAAACTAAACTATAAACTATTACGGTTCCCTATTAGGGAACTATTAAAAACTATTTTTATATAAAATCTAGGTCTTAGTATATATAAACCTACTAATTTATATATTTAAATTACTATTATTAAATATTATTTTAGTTATAACCCTACTTAATCTTATTTTTTAACTATAAGAGCTATATAATTAAGAGTAATTACTTTATATAGGAACTTATTAGTAGAAGTAATATAATATTCCTTAGCTTTTAAGTATATTAATTATAGGTAGATAGGTAATATTTAGTATTAGGTATTTAGCTATATTTTATTATAAAGATATATATATTTAATATATTATTAAATATAATCTTTTCTATAGAATAAATTTAGTAGTTTTTAGTAGATTTTAGTAGTTTTTAATAGTTTCTGATAGTTTCTAGTAGTTTCTAATAGGTTTAGCCTATATAGTAAACTAACTTTTATCTAATTAGTAGCTTAGTTTAATCTTTTAATTATAATATATTATTTTACCTAGAATCCTTTATTTATTAGTTATATCTAGGTAGAAACTATATAATCTATCTAAGTTAGTCCTTCTCTCTTAGTAATTACTATCTCCTATTTTATTATATCTTAATACTAGTAATCCTTTTTTTTTATTAATATATAATAGCGATTTTAATATTTCTTATAATCCTTTTTTTATATCTAAGCTATCTAAGAGTTAGGAAATCTTATCTTCTTTTAATATAGATTTCTTTTAATCGCTCCTATCCTCTATAATCCTTTTTTTATTTATATATATTAGTCCTAGTTATAATAAATCCTATATTCTCTATAATAAAATACTTTATAATAACTTTATAAGCTAGTAATAAGATACTATTAGGGGTTTAGACTATATATACTAGGATATATAATATTAGTCTAGTATTTAGAATAAATTTTACTAGATCGCCTATAGCTTTAATAGTACTATAAAGATTATAGATAAATATTATAGCTAGATTCTTAAATACTTAAATTTTATCTATAAGATAAAAGATAGGAAGAAATAGTATTAAGAAATCTTAACTATAAAAGATTATCTATTTAGTATAGGCTATATTAAAGCTTCCTAATATTAAGAGATAAATATTATTTAATTCCTATAGCTAAAAGTATATTTCTTCTTACTATCTAAAATAGTTTAGATTTAATAATTAGATTTACTAGCTAGAATATAATAATTACTAAAAGATTTAGTTAAGAGATATAGAAAGAAAAGCTTTTTATATTTCTTATAGTTATATATATTTTTTTTACCTAATTAAGTATCCTAAATTCTACTACTTAATCTAGATAGTTTAGTCTATACTAAAGATCTTTAATATCTCTTTAGTAAAAATAATATAATACTAACTATAATCCTCTATATAATAATAATAAAAGAATATCCTAAGAATACTTCTAGAAGATATAAAGATTTTAGTTATTTTTTATTACTAGATTTTATTTTTTATATAGATATTTATAGCTATAACTAGCTATTTTATCGATAAAGACTAGTAATATTATAAAGTTCTTTTTAGTTTTAAACTATTTTATAGAATATACTCTAGTATTAACCTAAGTTCTATTCTTTTTAGTATTCTTCTATAATATAAGATTAAAGATTAGGTCTTTATAATTATTACTAATAATATATTAAATAACTAAATATTAGTTAATTTACTATAATAAATAATATTAGAAGATACTATCTTTATTAGGGTTCCATATCTTATATATATAATTTAGCTAAGCCTAAATAAGCTTCTTAGGTATATTAAGGCTTACTTATTAAATAAATTAACTAAGATATAATAGATAGAGTAATAATCTTAGTTAGTATATATAAATATAACTAAGATATTACTAATATATTATTAAAGATATATATATATCTAATCTCTAATTATATTATACTAATAATAATCTTTAGATTTAAAATCTTATAGTCTATATAAATATAAATTCTTAATATTAGGAAACCTTCTATAATTTATAAAGTAAAATAATAAGACTTATATTTCTTTAGGATATTAAGATATACTAGAATTCTATATTCTTTATACTTTAATATATAAAATACTTATAATTATTTTTCTAGCTACTCTATAATAAATATAAATAGCCTAATATAATATTTAAAGATAAAGAATAATATTAGATTAATTACTTTCTTTTTATTATCTAGCCTTTCTTTAATTTTATAGTTAAACTATTAAAAACCTAAGATATTATAATATATTATATCTTTCTAATTTATAATAAACTATTTAAGTATCTTAAGCTATTAATTATATAATTTATATAGAAAAGGACTATCTAGAAATAGTAGATATTTTAGGTATTATAAATTACTTAATAAAAGCTTAATAAGTACTATTTAGAGATAAATTATATATAAAGGTATTTTTATATAATTACTATAATACTTACTCTAGTAAATAAGTTCTAATTTTTTTAAACTAATAATTAAGAAGATTACTAGCGTATAATCTACTAGAAAGCTCTTAAAGATTAGTTAGCTTCTTATAAAGAATATCTTATAAACTAAGTAATATTAACTTAATCTTTTTCTTTAGAGAAAGGAAGATTATATCTTAATATAATAG